CTCGAATCTCGGATCTCGAATCTCGGATCTCGAATCTCGGATCTCGATTCTCGGATCTCGGATCTCGAATCTCTGATCTCGAATCTCCGATCTCGAATCTCGAATCTCGGATTTCGGATCTCGAATCTTGAATCTCGAATCTCGGATCTCGAATCTCGGATTTCGGATCTCGAAGCTCGGATCTCGAATCTCGGATCTCGAATCTCGGTTCGGATCTCGAGTCTCGGATCTCGGATTTCATTGTCAAGTGCTTCTGTTTTTTACACGGAGTCTCAAACAGACCACCAAGCAGGGATGCCCCAGAGAGCACCGCGCCAGGAAAATCGAGAAAACCTAAAAGGCTCATCTAGCTTGAACCGGGCGTCTTCCAAATAGCAAGTGGGTGTTTGATTTGGAATAGAACCTTGTTGTCAAGTTTCTTGCTGGCTCCGTTAAAAGCATGTAACGCAGCCATGTAGTTTATTTGGTCCTGCTTGGGAGCAAAGAGCTCTAAGAATGAGGCAACATCCACATGCGCCTGATACACTCAAGACTGACCTATATATACAGTCATGGAACTTCAAGAATTTAGATTTCTTCGTAGTGGGCAGCCATGCCAGCGTGGAGATATGATGATGATGGAGACGTTACGTGTGAAGAGTCTGCAGAGACCATCTCCTTCCTCACAACCACGAACATAATCCCACCACTTCTGGCGCCACAGCCAAGCACCACTATTTCAAAAGTTTTGCGCCACATTTTGATAGAGCTTTCGCTTCAAGATTTTTAAAGCACTTGCATGGAGAACGTGGACCTGTTGGAGCTGCAAAAAGAAAGGCTTGACTTTGACCGGGACGTTGCAACTTCAATAGGTCCAACTCGTACTTCACACTATTTGCCAGATCTTTCTCGACCCTCTGCGGAGTCATTTGTTGATGTAGGTCTGTGCGGCCCCGAGAATTGCCTAAGCCAGCTGGAAGCACCAACCACTGCGCTTATATGCTGATTGCTCAATATGCCCAGCTTGGACGTGAAACTTTCTCGGTTTGACATTTACCTTGTATTGGTGCTCAGGAGCGGAGGCTCAACGATCTTGGATTGGAAGATTATAATTGGAGCAGTCGGATGCAACCCCCTGAAGCTTGTAGGTGCAATGTGCGCCCGAAGCTTCAGTGCCTTGCGCCCGGCCAAGCTCGATCAATGGGGCCTTGCAGGAATGAATGAGTTGGAGACGGAAAACCCGTCACAATTTTGCCAGCCAAATTGATTTGGCCGGGAAAACCCGTCACGTTGCAGACCGGGGCCCCAGCCCCAAAATGTGATGGGTTTTTTGAAAAACCCGTCGCAATTAAATAAGGAAAACGAAAACACGTCAAACTTTCCAGCTCATCCCCAACTTCAAAAAGTGATGGGTTTTTCCAAAACCTATGGAATTGTGATGGGTTTTTTTAAAAACCCATCGCTTTTCTGGGGCCAGCCGAGCTTCCAGATTGTGATGGGTTTTCTGAGCAAAACCACTCAGCCAAATGGATTTGGCCACCAAAAATGTGATGGGTTTTTTAAAAAACCGGTCGCAATTTGACCAGCCAAATCCATTTGGCCGGGAAAACCCGTCACAATTTGACTAGCCAAATCCATTTGGCCAGGAAAACCCGTCAAAATATAGCCAGCCAAATCTTTTTGGCCAGGAAAACCTCGAACACTTGGTATACCTAGGGTCCAACCGCTTTGCACTTGGAGGAATGAGGTGTTGCAAAACCTGTTTGGCATAAAGGACTTGTCACGATTTTACTGTTAAATTGTGTTGGTTCAGTAAGGACACCTCAGTTTCCAACAAAGACCAAAGCAGAAGGGCCGGGGCTTTGAGCTGGGTGCGCTTAACCTTGGTAGGCTATTTGACTGCCAGCTAGCTGGCAGCCGGTGTGCTCGTTTACACAACCTGTTTGAGTTTGTGGTGTGTGCTTCTTGAAGCTTTAAGCTTCTGGAGGGCTTTATGACGAGGTGAGAGTTGTTCGAGTAAAACGGTCGCGTCCGTTGGTTGCCTTGAAGCTTCGTGATTCTTAGAGCCGCAACTTGTTGAGGCGATGTGGTAGCGGGGGGACAATATCGCGTCACATGGACGATCAAAGTGAAAAATAGCATAAGCGAACATTCAACCTTTTGACCTGCTGGCTTGGTTGCAATGTGCGCATGGAGCCTGGTAATTGAACTTGGTGCTATTTGCTATCATTATGGTTTTGAATGGGATGCCACGTGATGCGTGCAAGTGCTGATTGTTTGCAAATTGCAGCAAATTCTGCGAGCCCGTGGAAAAAGCTGCCAGCTTGTGCTTTGGAGTTTACCGGACGGGTAGAAATTTGGACACCCACTCGCTATTTGGAGGACACCCGGTTCAGGCTAGATGAGCCTTAAAGCATTCAACACTTCATGCCGTGCTCCGATCTTGATCTACTCCACGTTGATACAAGCTCCACGAAAGCTACAGGCATTCAACGATAAGTGCTCCGCTGTGTTTTCCTCCCAGTCTTGCACTACCATATTGGTCTCTCGCTGGCTTTCGTCCTTTCCTTACTCAGGTATATATATATATAATTACTGTATATACACAACCCCCCTGAGAGACACGTAAAGCGCAATCACAAGTAGACAAAAAGCTCATGCAGCAAGTGATGAGAGCGGGGATAGAATTTCAGTGTGGTCTAAAGTCTAAAGTGCTCACGAGCTCTCTGGGTCCAGGGAAAATCGCCTCAGACAAAAGACAGATTAGCTCATGTGGACGACAGGCTTGTCGTTGCAGCCCGACGCAGACAGCTTGATTCATGAGGACTGGGTTCCAGAGAGGGAGTGGAGCGGAAAACTATACTGGAGATGCTTCCTTCTTCTTCGCACTGATGATCCAGTCAACCCAGTGCATTCCATATATTTCAGGTGCTTATATATATATATTAGTTATATATATATATACATATACTGGAATGCAATGTGTGATCAACCCGCCACCAGTCACAACGTGCATGTGCCAAGAATGTGCGCAGCACCGCGGCGCTTTGTTCGCACAGTGGAGAGGTCGAAGTTCCACGGCCCCAACATCCATGACCAATGCGCATTGTATTGCCAAGATGCGCATACCGCAATACAATGCAATACACATGAACACTGAACCACGGGACTTTGAAACGCAATAGAACTCAAGCACGTGCCTGTAACATCTCCATGTGTTTTGCATTCGGATAGACCATCCACGATCACTACTTTGGTTTGATCCGGTCCAGGTGAAGACCTCTCGACAATTTGTCCGTTTGAGGCCAGGTTTCAAATCTCAAAACTGTTGCTTCAGCACAGTCAAGCTGAGTCGAGCTCAGGTGGGGCCATGAATATAGCGGTGGTTGGTTGGTGAGCTCTCCGCGGAACCTGGCTGGTGTGGACTACGAGTTGCACGCTGCTTGTCTAGCACGCTCTCCCTTGGAGGCCCTGAAGCTTGGCTAAGCTGATGTCCAGTGGAAACACCGTTAACATTTTGTAATAAAAAGCCGCAGCGCTAAAATCAAGTCATCAACATACTCGGAAACTGAGGAACAAGCTATCAAAAGCAGGCTTTTTGCCTTGTAGCCGACCTCCCAAGTGCTTAGCCTAGAGTTTTCCTGTTTCTGTGTTGCCATCGACATCTGAATGGGTTCTCCACCATCAGCTCAGGATGCCCAGGATGTCTGAGCTGGACTCGTGGGAACTGACTCTTTGACGAGCAAGTCTCGCACAAATTATACAAATTATCCGCTTCACGCGGTTCACACCACTTTTTTTTAAAACATATATTTCAGATTATTTCAGCCTCGATACAAGCCATGCCCATTGAATTAAGGCCTTAGGTCTGAAGTGCTGACCGCCGAGGATGATGTACAAGGACCACCCGGTGCCGCTGGTGGCACAGGCGCAGAATCATAGTGATCTTGCTGGGTTTGGCTTGAATAATCACTGCTGGTTCGCAGGCCGCATGGCATTCTGCTTTGTCTCAGGGATTCTTTGGCTTCCTCAGCCTTATCATTTTCCAATGACAACACGCCAGGCCCCAAAGCGTACCGCACCTCAGCCAGTGCGGCTGTGAGTCAGTCTGTAGCAAATTGTGTATTTGTTATTTGGATTGCATCGTGTGAGAAGAAGGCCAAAGTAAAGCCTCTCACTTCTCGCTTCTGGCTGAAATAGTGCAGAAAATGGAAAGTGGACGAACGCCGGAACGCTGAGAATTCTCCTGCAAGCCATCAGCTGGCCCCTAGCTGTGAAGTCAAGATATGTGTCACTCAGGCTTTTAAGCCTCACCGTGGTTTTGAATTGCGGCTGCGGCTTTTTGCAACTGCTGAGACTCAACAGCAATCACAAGACAGTTCGCTTCCTTCAGATGAGTGGAACGTTTCTCAGTTGCTTTGATTTGACCTGAACTGGAACTCCCTTCATCACTCTTCCCATCGATGACACTAGATCTTTGTGATGTGATGGCTAAGCAATGGTCTTCATTCCTTCCCGGTCTTCAGCTGTCAAATTGTTGGGTGCGTCAGCATGATCAGCCGTCAAGCCAAGGATTTGCAGCAGTGCTCGGCATGAGCTTCAAAAGCAGCTGTTCCTTGGCAGGGCGTTGGACTGGCAAACGTGCAGGTGTTGAATGTGCCCGCTCTAAACAGAGAGGTTTCAGGCGAATTCCTTTTGTTGATCCAGCCGCATCATCCTTTGCAGCGCTTAAACATGACCCCACTGGACTCATTGGTGCACCGCCCTTCCGCCGGGAGCATGTGGCAGCGAGGTCGAGGCAAACAATATACTGTTTGACCATGGTTCTAGACATGGCTGCGCAGATGAGATGAAGGCGCTTCCACATTGATTGTTGTGGAAATGATTGCAGGTTGGCCGTTTGGGCAGATGATGGCCAAGAAGATTTCCTTCCAGCCTTGCAGACACTTGGAGGATCTTGATGGGTGGTGTGGGAGATCTCGAGTTAACGAAGGTTGGAGAGGTGGTAGTCTAGTTGGGCAGGCCACCAGGCCTCTCAAATGAGCCGCACGCCCTGCATCAATCTGATCCAGGTCTTTGATTCATCTCAGGATTGGAGCAGAGCAGGATGGCGAAGGCGCTCCTGTCACCGTCACCGAGGAAGGCCAGGGCGGCCAGGGCGAGGGCTTGAAGAGCCAGGACCCAGAGATGCAATGTCGTCAGAGACTCCTTGGCAGGTTGGGAGGAATTGATGGGGTTGGGATGTGTTGGGTATGGTTGGGTGTAGGTGCCAGCTGAGAGCCGCTTCCAGTTCCGAAAGGGCTTCAAAAGGAATCCGTCTTCGCGGTTCGTTTTCCAGTTGAGGGCAGGAATTGAGCTCAGAATGTCGAAACACAAAAGATACACCCAACTGCAGTGCTGGAAGACGTATTTGGCTGCTCTGTTGCGTTACCCCAAGTGTTTGTTAAAAAACGTAGCGGGTCAGACCACACCGGCTGAGCCAATTGTTCCAACCTTCCTTGACCAAGGAGGGCAGAGATCACCGAGCCCACCCTGCCAACACCGCAGCCATGAACAGTGTACATAGTTTCTGGAGTTTTACTCACTTTGGCACTTGGAGCACCCACTTCCTTTTGTATATAAGTATCATTATTATTTTATTTTTGTTATTTATATATATATATTTCAAAAGCCAGCCGATAGGCTTGGCTAAGTCCTCGATGAGCGAACCAAGTGAGTAATAGTATGCGTATGGGGGGGTGGTCGCAGGACTGTACGAGCCGGGTAGGGGAAGAGCGAAAAAAAGAGACGCCACAAAAGGTAGTGAAAATTCATATTTTTAAGGGTCTTGGTGATGCAAATGGTGCAAATGATGCTGAGTAGTGCATCATTAGCATCACAAAGCGCTCAGGACTCAGGAGACTATTTAGATTGTCCACTGAGGCGAGCTGAGGTGTGTGAGTCCAGGTAGAGGAGAGGAGACTGAGCGATCACTGCGTTGTTTTCAGAATGATAGGAAAGGAAAGTAGCGCTTGACTTTCATTGCTTTAGTAGCTGAGCTGAAGTCACTGATTACAGTCACGGCGCTTGACCGAGTTTTGCAGGTAAGCAGATTGATTGGAAAGGTTGAATGCAGTAGTCCTCCTGGAATAGTTGCCACAGTCTAAGGATAATGTTGGGGGCGCCCTTTTTTAGTGTGAAAAGGGCCCTAAGCCGGAAGAAAAAGGGCATCCCCTGGAACTTTGTACAAGAGCGTGGGATCCAAGCCTGTCCTATGACCAGTAACAGTGGATGGAGAATAGTAAAGGCCTTGTGTGTATCAATGTGAAACTTTACGTTTTCCCGTGGCTAAAGAAGGTAAGAAGTGCTGTATGTGCAGTTTCGACTTCAAGCTATACCAAAAATCATGTGTTACAATATTAACTTCTCAATCCCTGGCTTTCGCCCCCTCCCTTCTCAGGTTTTCTCTCTCCCCTCGGTGGGCCCAGCCCTGTCATAGATAACAGGCACGAGGCGGAGAAAGCAGATCACTTCATACCACAATTTGCGGCACCAGAAGGAACGTTTGTTATGAGCAGAGTGGTATGCTTATGTACCAGTGTGAATTGGATTTTGAAAAACACTTGTTATTGGAATCAGGGATGGGTTGGTATACACGCATGCTTTCCAGACATCTACTTTGTCGCCCTGTGAGTTTCCTGCAGTGTATCGCATGAACAGTGGGTTTCTTTGAGCCAAGAGCGCTCCAATGGTCTTCGCTTCAAAACGAAGTGGGAGACTGACCTTGAGTGGCAGTGCTCGGAGCGTGTAAGAGCCCAAACCACGTTGGCTTGGAAGCTTTTGCCAGCTGCATGTCACATGTCATAAGAACTTATGCATGCCGGCCTTACCTTCGCAGCATGCATTGCATCTTTTGGTGACCTTTGGCGAAACTAGGCTTGGCTGGCCTTGGCCTTGCCACAGCCCGATGTGGTCCGCTGTGTCCTGTTGCAGCAAAGCGAGGCATGAAACGCATTCCTTTTTGAAGAAACATTTGCCAGGTTACTGTGGTTCCTATAGCGAAATTTAATATACACCTAGAAAGGCAAGTCAAAAGGATATATATATATATATATATAAAGGTAGAGAGAGATAGAGAGAGAGAGAGTTATGTAGAGATATTATGGGATGTTTACATTCGCATATTTTGTTTGTCTGTGTGGTGCGGTTTCTGGTGAGATTTGAAGTTGGACAATGAAAGAGACAGTTGGTATGTAGCTCTGTTGAGACGTCTCATTTCTGACCGGCTTGAGGTGTCATGCTGCCGTGCCGAGCAGGTTCACTTGGACGTTTGGGATGGTGAAGGCTTGCTTCGATGGAGACAAGAAAGAAGCAAATATTTTTTTTCGGAGTGTGTTGTGTCGATATTTAGTTGTTTTGCTTGCGCAATTGTACACATTTAGGGCGATTGTTCATTTAGGGCGGTGCCGTGGACCCACAACTTCTTCGTTGGGTGCGTTCCTCCTTCCCCGAACTGCCCTTGAATGTTCCTGCGTGCGCACTGTATATGCAGGCTGGCAAAGGGCTCACACCTGGGACGTTCGAGGCCTGGCTCATTGGTTTAAGCGGTTGTTACTTTCTCGCATTTTGGGTCTTTATTCTCCTGAATCATTTTTCCCAAAAGCATCTCCGATGCTTGGGTTCTCGTTTAGTCGCTAGTGCCGGGGGAGAGCGAGGAAAAGCTTACGTTGTCGGGGACGGAAGATGGAGGTGGAGGTGGACGGGGTTGGGAAGGAAAGAGGGAAGGAAGAGGGAGGGGAAGGAAGGGAGGGGAAGGAAGGGAGGGGAAGGAAGGGAGGGGAGCGAGACGGTTGGGGAGGGAACAGATGGAGGGGAGCGAGACGGGAGGGGCATGGGTGGGGACGAGAAGA